CATAATCTTAGGATACATTGATGTCAGTTGGTATAACAATGTTCTACCTCCTAGCTTGGTTAAGTAGCCATCTAGGGGGTTTAAAAGCTTGCAAGGGGCCTTCTACGAGACAACTATTGGTCTATTCCCACCCAGAGCAAAGGAGGAAAAAAAATCCATGAAAACACCAAGGGCGCAATTAGTCCAAAGGACTGGTGGACCACATGAGCCAGTGTCCTCTAGCCAGAAAAGCTAGATGGTGTCCACCTACCACCACCAACCATTTGACCAGAAAATAATAGAAGGTACTAGTTAAAACGGGTGGTAAATGTAAGGGGGTAAAAAATCACATTCATAAGAAAGACCACACAGACTAGAGCAGCGGTTCTCAACCTGTGGGTCCCAACCCCTTTGGGGGTTGAATGACCCTTTCACAGGGGTTGCCCGATTCATAACAGTAGCAAAATTACAATTCTTAAATAGCAACAAAAATAATTTTATGGTTGGGGGGTCACCACAACATGATAAACTATTAAAGAGTTGCGGCATTAGGAAGGATGTGAACCACTGGACTAGAGGAATCTTGCCTACGTCACCATTCTAACTTTGAACTGAAACCATTCCCAGATGTCACCCTCCAACCAAATAGACTGCCCTATGAAATAAATTGTAAAAAATGTGCTCCTCAGAACATCAACTGTATGAGACTCAAAGGACAACCATTTCCCAAATGCAAAGATTAAAAGGCAGGGGTGGGCCGGAGACTAACTGAATGGGGAGCTCAAGGTGCAAGGAGATGAGCACTGACACGATGCACATTGCAACCAACATCACAGAAAAATAGGTGCATAAATTATTGAAAGAAAAACTTAATTTGCAGTGTGAATTTTCAGAGAAAGTACAAAATGTTCAAAAAGAAAGTTACTTTCCCCCCGCAGCTAAGCCCCATTCCCTAAATATTGAGAGGCTAGAGACATTTAGAAAATAAAACTAAGATTCCACATCCGCATGCTATTGGACCAGATTCGTCACGCACGTCTTGAAGAAACATGCAACTCATAAGCAGCCCTCACTCCTAACCACGATGAGAAACACCAGGTGACAGTTGAACATTACACGCTCCCATTTACTCACCCCGTACATGGAAAACACAAAGGGTGTTTCAGCGAGGGTCCGATACAGGAACCGATAAGGTCAAGCCAACTCTACTTGTCAAGTCTGACTTGAGTAGGGTGTGTAAGGGCTAACAGTTTGTAAGATGCATTAGAGATAGTAGTCTGATGATAATCTATGTAGAGTAACATGAAACTGGATAATGTATATGTGTAAACGCAACTGTGATTCCTTAAAGCAGTGAAAGGTAAAGTTAAGCCCTTTAATAGAACAACCTACTTTGTATTTTAATGTTACAAAAAGTATTCAAGATATAATAACAGAAAAATATAATATTTAATATACCAAACTTTGACTAAGCAAAGAACAGTCTGTAAATTGTCCAAGAAAAACTGAGATGATCAATGTAAAGTAATTAAAATTTTTTGGCGTGCCCATTTATTCACGTTTGGGTAACTGTATCGTATATATGCAGCATACAGTATCATCAAGTTTTTAAAAAACACTAACATTTAAAAAGATCTGTGGCCTTATTTAAATGCTGATCCAGAAGGCACTTCAGTAACTTTCAGTGTGCCAAGTCATTAACACTATCACTGTACAGTAGTGAGGAAACAGTGTACTTGTGCTATGTACAAACAAGGACTTCCAGCATTATCCAAGAAAGTCTTATGTTTTAGGCATTTTATTTCTTTCTATACAATTGAAAATAAGATGAACATTAATACGGTTTTTACAAACATTTTCGTTTATTTTAATGAAGCTGGTACAGACAATGTCCATTTAAAACCCATTCCCAGGCCAAAAAGTACAAATAAAATCAAAAAGAGCAGTGTTCTGTTGAATACACTTCTGCCTGAATAGCTTTATTAATTGCTAATGTAATTTAGAACTTTTCTGGGGTCTTCTGACAAGATTTTCATCTCCATCTTAAAACGCTTTATCTCTTCAGTGACGCCATCTTTGGAGCTAGTCACTACTCTCCATTTGTCACCAGGACTCCAATTGGAGAGGCCTCTTCTTTTGGTCCAGACTCTCAGATTTTCAGAGTAGCTTCAAAAGTTCAGGAAAGGTCATTTTCCACAGTTCAGTTCTCTGAAGAACTTCCATCTCCCACTGAAAGTCAGTCCAGGAGCAAAGCAATCAAATGCTAGAACTTCAGGGCCAATTGGAAAGTCATTGTGAACACTTGCAATGGTCGGTCTTACTTATTCCACAAGCCTGCAAATGCACAGCCCTGGGCAAGGGGACTCTCTGTGCACACAGGTCACTGTGAAGAAGAGGAGGACATTATGAGGGGCTGAGGTTTGATCACCAAAAGTCAGCACAATGAGAAAACGCTAATGAACACTGAGCACTAGGATTTGAAATGCCAGATGTTTGCAAGAGAGGTGCCAGTTTTCAATTCCATTTTGAACACATTACAAAAGAACTATTTTTAAAAATAAAAAAGGATTAAGGGAAAAGAAAAAAAATTAAAAGAATATCTAAACTGTTGAATGACCCCCCGTTTGTTCCTGATAAACTTCAATCACATCTTCTTCCTCCATTCCCAACTGTAAAGAAAGAAAAATACATTAGAAGATAATAAAAGCACTATGTTTTAATTGGCTGTAATTATGTAGCACCATTTGAAAATGCAAATGGAAACAAACGTGATTCACTATTATTCTTAGGATTCAGACCTGTATTTTCTCTAAAGAATAGAGAAATATAACCTTCCTTCTGATTTTAAGTCTATAAAGTAGTTCATCTTAAATTCCTGTCAATTTCACTTACCATTTTATTCACTATTCAAGTGTTTTCCACAGTACTTTTTTAAAAGTTTTAAGTCTAATAAAATAGTATTTTAAATGATAGTTTGATGACATGTTTTCTAAAAAGCCCTTTATTCCTAGATTAATTACTTGATAAATTTTTTCCAAAAAAATAATATTTCATTTGAAATATGTGATTTAGTTAGGAAAATCCAGCCTAGAGTTATTTCCAAGTGGTTTGTATTATCACCTATAATTCTTTCTATTAATGTAGCTATCATTTTCCTTGCTATCAAGTGAATAGCAATCTTATCAACATTTCCAGTTTCATAGGCCAAATTAGTCAGTATCCCATTTGTTGAGACTATGCATAGTATCACACACACATGTACAATTCACTAGCACTCTTCCAAGTCATATAATCATTCTCACCTTCCTTTCCCAAGTGTTTCTCCTCCAGCAACATAAACTCAGTGCCCCTTACGTTTCTTATTTAATCTTTTGAATTACTGTTGCCATTTGATCCCATAAAGAGATTTTTCACACACAAAAAGTGATTTTTCAAAGAGCATAATGCTCAATGCAGTTGTATTGAAAGTA